TCGAGCCATTGATTGCTACCCTCTGAGCCTGACAGTCCAGCCAGTTTTTTTATCTGCCTTACAGTCCATTTATCCAAACCATACTTCTTTAGCTTATCTGTAAGAATGTTGTGGGAGACCATATCAAAGCCTTGCTAAGGTCGAGGTATTTCCTATCTACTGGTCCACCTGTATCCACAGAGCCAGTCATCTTATCATTGAAGGCAATCAGGTTGGTTAGGCATGATTTTCCCTTTCTGAGTCCATGCTGACTGTTCCTAATCATCTTCTTCTCCTCCAAGCGCTTAGAAAAGGATTCTTTGAGGATCTGCTCCATAATTTTTCCAGGGACTGAGGTAAGGCTGACTGGTCTGTAGTTCCCTGGATCGTCCTTCCCGTTCTTAAAGATGGGCACTATATTTGCCCTTTTCCACTTATCCAGGACCTCTCCTGATCACCAGTTTTCAAAGATAATGGCCAGCGGCTCTGCAATCACATTAGCCAACTCCCGTAGCACTTTTAAGTGCTTTGCATCTGACCCCACGGACATCTAGCTTTTCTAAATAGTACCTACCCTGTTTTTCATGATGGTTAGTTGCTCACCTTCCCAAACTATGCTTCCAGGTGCATTAGTTTAGGAGCTGACTAAACCTTCACCTTGCCTGTGAAGACTGAAGTAAAAAAGACAATGAGTACTTACAGCCTTTTCCACATAAAATGTCACTAGCTTGCCTCCCCCATTCAGTAAGCGGCCTACAGTTTCCCTTATCTTCCTCTTGCTGCTGTCAATTTGTAGAAACTCTTCTTGTTACCCTTCACGTCCCTTGCTAGCTGCAACTCCAATTGCACTTTGGCCTTCCTGATTTCTTCCCTGCATGCCTGAGCAATACTCTTATACTCCTTCCTAGTCATCTGTCCAAGTTTCCACTTCTTGTCAGCTTCCTTTTTGTGTTTTAGCTCACTGAAGAGTTTCCTGCTAAGCCAAGCTGTTCTTCTGCCATACTTGCTATTCCTCCTGTGCATTGGGATGGTTTGTTCTTGCAGCCTCAGTAAGGTTTCTTTAAAATACAGCTACCTCTCCTGGACTTTCCTCCTCAGATGAGCCTCCCAGGAGATCTTGCCCATCAGTTCCCTGAGTGAGTCGAAGTCTGAATTTCTGAAGTCCAGCGTCCTTCTTCTGTTGCTCTGCTTCCTTCCTTTCCTCAGGATCCTGAACTTAATCATCTTGTGGTGGCTGCTATTCAAGTTGCCATCCACTACTCCATTCTCCACCAAGTCTTTCCTTTGTGAGCCTCAGGCTGAGACACGGTCTCAGTCTGTTTCAGCAAGCCTCACATTCACTGCTCCTTATCATAGAATCATAGAAGTAGGGTCGGAAGGGACCT